TCATCTGTTATTTGAAATGCGTTCTATTTGGGTTCTTATCAATCACAGAAGGTTTGATTTCTACATAATGCACACCAGATCTCACACTGACATGCCAGGGCCAGTAGCTGAAGGGAACTGGGAGGTTGACAAAGCAGCAATGTTTAACACCATACCCAGAGTCCTAGAGCAAGCAAAGTTGTCTCATTCATTTTTTTCATCAGAATGCATGTTCTCTAAAGACACAATTCAAAATAACGATTAATCAAGCTCAAAACATTATCATGGCATGCCCAGACTGTCAGAAAATCACACCCATGCCATCTCAGGAAGGCATTAACCCCAGAGGATTAATGGCAAATGAGATCTGGCAAACAGATATCACACACATCTCCGAATTTGGCACATTAAAATATGTACATGTAACTGTAGACACACATTTGCAATACATAACTGCCACAGCACACACAGGTGAGAAAGCCAAGGATGTAATGAGACACTGGCTCAGTTGTTTTGCTACCCTTGGTACCCCAAAACAAATAAAGACTGATAACAGACCAGCATTCATCTCAGAAAAGGTAAGAGATTTCCTGTCAGATTGGAGAATTTCACGTCACAGGAATCCCACACTCACCAACCGGACAGGCAATTGTGGAAAGAGCACAAGAGCACACTGAAAGAAATGTTAGCTAGACAGAAAAAACCTGTATAGCCCACAAGAGCGTCTGTGGAAAGCCACATATGTTATCAATTTTTTAAATTGTGACAGTGCTGAAAGAAGCAAGTATGAAAGGCAACATAGACCTCAGGTGTCTGCCTCACCCAAACCACTGGTCATGGTTAAAGATTTGATTTCGGGACAGTGGACAGGACCCCTAGATCTTGTGACTTGGGGGAGAGGCTATGCCTGCGTGGCTACAGGAAAAGAACTTAAGTGGATTCCTTCCAGGTGTGTAAAACCCTATTTAGGTACACAGTCACAGCAGCAAGAACCAGAGTAACGCAGAAGTTATAAAAAAGTTATGCTTACGTTTCAGGTTTACATTAAGGGACGACCAATGTGGTGAAAAGTAGTTTGCAAAGTATCTGTGCATGTGTGTGTGTGAGTGAATGACGGCCATCGGTGAATGAGAGAATGAATGAATAAGAGAGTTGTTTGACTGGACAAATATTAAAACACAAAACACCTCACAAAATAACATTACCTCCACCACAAGATCACTTTAAGAGAATTTAGTTTTGCTAAGCTTATCCTGTTTCTTAAATAAAGTTGAACTGCCCAGTTATTTAAAAACCCTCAGATTACTAGAAGTTATAAGTTTATACATGGTTGGGCTAAAGCTCCTAAGTTAATAAAGTTATTTCTCCAAGTTGCACTACCCTTTAGGAATATAAGAAAGTTTTAAAAGGTTTACAACAGAAGTATAAGAGGCCAAAGCAAGTGATGTGCTGGGTCATTGCAAGCTTTGGTGGTTTACAATGTACTGTTCTGATTATTTGCACTGTTGTTTTTGCACTATTTTCATGACCTCCTTAAATAATTAAGAGGGAGGTGATGTAGGGGGCATGTCTAAGGTACGAGGGAATGTACCAGGGCGAGAGTGCCCGAGGGAGCACGCGCCCATATAGACAACCCTATCGGCCAAGGAAGTCACATGGGTTTAAGGGATAAAAGCAGTGCCTAATTTGAAATAAATCTCTTTGTTTTACCACTTCACAGAGAGTGTGTATTTTCTTTATTGGATAAAGACACGTGCCACCCTACAATTGCCCTCTTGTGTCTCTGCAGTAATTACACTCACAGCTTTCTTGGGTGACCCCCTTCTTACCAGCTCTCTTCCCTCTCAATTCACGTACCCAGGCTTCCAGCTTAGAGGTGGGTTCACCATCCCGCTTCTTCATGTCTTCCTCCAGTCAGGCAGAAAGAACCAGAGTTCACCACGTGGCCTGAGCTTGGGATTCCTTTCCCTCTGGCCGGGCCAGGAGGGGACAGATCTCTTGGGCTGCCCCTTAGGGCTGAGGTGGGGATGTGGAAGTGTGCGTGGGGACAAGGAAGTGCCCAGAGTTTCTTCTACGTTTCAGAGTCAGGAGGACAAAATCTCTACAGGTGGTGGATCCATTCTCAGGAAATACAATGCTTCCAGGCTGTTGGAATATGATGCAGGGGTGCTTTGAACCACCTTCCTCTACATGGCCACCGTGCAAGGAACTTTAGGGCTGGATCTTTGGGGCTGTTATCCCTTCGTAGATTACTATAAATGATTTCCAGCACTGCTAATTCTCTCAAGTACTGGATACCTTCATCTGCAGTGCTCCACTTTCCTGAGGAGTTCATAAGATCTTCCTTGAATGGATACCTTGCCCTCACGCTTGAGAGGAGCCATCTCCAGAGCCTGCAAATTGCTCTGTCTTTTCCAATTCCTCTTTCAATTTCCCAGTCTCTAGCAAGGGATCCCAGCTGTTGGGCTTCATGACCTTCCTATCAGCCCCATTATCCCAGCATCAAAGCAGTCAGGTAGGAATCCACTCACTGGGCTGGCGGCTGGAATCTTTCTGCAAGTCCCAACATTCTGATGAGGTCAGGGACTGGGTAACTTCGGTTTCCTGTGGGATTGGTCTCACTCGATTTCTTTGTTAAAGGACTGGCCCCCTCCCCTCCTGATTCTCCCTTTTCTTCCCATACTAATTTCATGGACCTGCAGCTTGCCTTAGCCATTTCTTCCTGTTCACTGACTGTAGTTGTTTTGGTTTGAGTCGCTGTCTCAGTCATAGCATCCTCCAGGGCAGTTTTGGTCCCTGCCTTCACTACAGTCCTCTGAGAGTACTGAACTGTGGCTCGATGGGCACAGGCCAGGCCCCAGTACAGGGCGAGAAGCTGCTTGTTTTCACTGGGATAGGCAAGGCACCTTCCATCAGGTGACACACCAGTCTGCCAGGGTCAAATACCTGTTCAGGTGTGACGTCCCAGGTAATGGGAGGAGTCAAACGCCCTGGGAACCTGCCCAGGTCCTTCCACACGTCCTGCCACCTCAGGACACATCCCAATATATCATCAGCTAAAGTGGTGTTCTTTGGGCCCCGAGTCCAAAGTAAAAGGAGAGGGGGAACCAGACCTGTTGCAGTCTGGTTGAAAAGTGGTGGTTGCAGTCCAGTCGAGAGTGGTGGTCTGCGGTCTGGTTGAGAGCAGTGGTCTGCAGTCTTCCTCTGGATCCCACGAGTGGTTAAAAAAGTTCCAAGACTCCAAGATTGTATATCCTCCAGTTCAGGCAGGAATGCTCAGTACCTCCCTCAGGGCAGGGAGTTCCACAATGGGTATGAGGACAGGAGCACCCTCCTGTCTCACAGGCCTCTTAACACCTAGTTTATAGCCTGAGGAGTCAGGCTCTATGTGCAGATGGTGTAAATGGTTCATTGATAAAAGTTTCTGGGAAATGCCATGGAAGGCTATAGAATACACAGTTTTGGGTTACACCCATCCAGTGATGAACTGGTCTCAGCTGTCCTAACTAGGACACAGTGTGAGGGTAAAGCATGGAGACCTTGTTTATTATGGTATGTTCCCAAAACTCAGCAAAATAAAGTGATGAGCAGCACAGCCAGCAAACTCCGTGTCCCATCCAAGAGCTTTGCTATTCCATAGCTACTGTCTTGCCTTTGTCTTGCCTCACATTGGGCACCAAAAAGGACTGTGGTGGGTTGACCTTGGCTGGACACCAGGTGCCCACCCAAACAGTCTATCACTGCCCTTCCCAGAAGGACAGGGGAGAGAGAATAAGATGGAAAACGACCCGTAGGTTGAGATAAGTCACTTTACTAAAGCAAAAGCAAAAGTTTGTGTGCACAAGCGAAGCAGAAAATAATAAAGTTTATTCTCTACTTCCCATCAGCGAGTGATGTCCGGCCACTTCCCAGAAAGCAGGGCTTCAGCACATGGAGCAGCTGCTCAGCAGACAAACGTTGTAAACAATGTCCTCCCCTTCCTCCTCCTTTCCTCAGCTTTTATGTCTGAGCTGACGTCATATGGTCTGGAATATCCCCTTGGTTAGTTTGGGTCAGCTGGCCTGGCTGTGTCCCCTCCCAGAAGGAATGTTGCAGTGCTGGTGCTGAGCCAGCCCTGCTCAGCAGTGGCCAAAATACCAGTGTGTTATCAACACCTTTCTAGCTACCAATGCAAAGCACAGCACTGTGAGGGATGCTATGGGGAAATGGTCCAGTTCAGCCAGACCCAATACAGGAATAAACTCTTTATTGGCTAAACAAGGGTGTGGGTCTGTGTTTGCTGTCCAGGGGCTCTTCACCTCTCCTGCCACACACCTCGCCCTCCTCAGACGGGCTTTGGGCGCACAGCTCTGCGTCGTGCTCCAGCCCGGGCAGGGGGCTTCGGCCCCGCCGGAGGGACGGGCTGGCGGGAAATCCGTCGGCCCACAGAGGGGAGGGTGTCCTCAGCAGCACTGCTCTCCTTTCTGCCTTGGGATGCTGTGGTCCCTTTGAAATCCTCTTCAGGGGTCGGTGCAGGCCCACATTGACAAATCCGCTGTATTGCAGACTGAATGATCTGTTTTGCCATGGTCCTTATATCCAAAGTGTTGCCTGATGTTGTTGCATCCTCTTCATTCTCCAAGCTCTCCTTCACCGTTGCAAGAACCTCAGGCTCCAAGGTTTTGGCATAGCCAGTCCTTTCTGCACGGCGCTTTGGTTGTAAGGGGGGCAACTTTGTTCCCTTGCTTGCTTCCAGCCTCTGCCGTTCAGATGCTCTGGGGAATCCTCGTCTTGCTTCCATACCCTGCTTTGACGGAAGTGTCTGTGATGGCTCTGGCTGAATGTTGGAGGTCTGTCCTTTGGGAAGCTCCAGGATTTCAGTGTGTTCACCGCTAGAGTCTCGTCCAAACTGAGAAGCTACCATGGATTTCAAGAGGTTGCGAACATTTTTAACAACAAGTCCGGTGAGTTTGTCAAGGCAAGCCTCTAAACATGCTCTGTGTGAAGTGGCTGTTTCAGTTTCCTCAGATTTGTCTGCTTGGGTGGCTCCTCCATCAACAGGCTGCTCCTCCAGACTGGCTGCTGCTCCTTGATCAGAAGCTTGGGATTCCAGATGGTCCCCCAACATCTCCAACACAGTCGCTACAAGCTCTTGGGCCACCGTTTCCATTTCCTGACAGTGATCTTGAGGTGTCTCCGAAGGCTGTGCTCTCATGCCGGAAGATGTTCCTCTGATCCCCTGGGCAGCGTTCTTTAAAAAGTCGACACGCTTATCCTGAGGAACCTTCAGCTTCCCAAAAACTCTGAGCACAACAGCCTCAACCAGCTCTTTGAGCTTCTGAGCTTCTGCTGCAGTTAGTTGTTCAGACACAGCTTTGACCTGTCCGTCAGCAGCAATGTCTGGCTTCCCCTGGGAGTCAGCACCAGTGCTGACACTCCCAGGCAGTGTGGCATCTTCCTGGCCCAGATCAGCTGTAGTGTAGGTTTGGTCCTCGTCCAAAGCTGCTTTCACTGTTTTGGATTGTTGCAATTTCCGTGTGGTTTCTCTTCTCTTGGGCGGAGGTGGGCAATAAGGTTTGTGAGTCTGCATCCACCGCTTTCCCGGGCGGGAAGCCTTGGTGGCTCCCGGCAGCTGGGTGCCATGCTTTAATTTGGCCGGGGGTGGCTGAACACATTCCTGAAAGGTGACACCAGGTTGTGGCTGCTGTTGCCTGGACAAGTGCTGAGGCTTCCCACAGGTCCAGGACAGCATTCTGCTTCAGCCAGGCAACGAGGGCAGGAGAGAAGGGCTTCCCTCAGGACTCCATGTGCTTACACATGGCCCTCGTGCCCATGCCCACCCCAGCATCCCACGCTGCCTCAGCCCCGAGCCGCGCAGTCCTTTCCTCGC